CATCCTTGAAGCGCATAGCAACAGCAAGGTGTTCGCAAAGACATAAATGGTGCTTTAGAGAAGCAAATTTCTTAAAATATTAACTTTTCCCAATTAATTTTAAAACCTGAGACAACCAGTCCCCCCGCTTCTACCAACCCTGTAGGTATAGATATTCGAATGGTTTCGAAATCCTTTCGGGGGACAATCCCGAGCACAAATGGACGGAACACCCGGTACTTGGGCAAAAACCTAGCGGCGATCTAATTTTCGGACGGCCGCCTAATCAGATCGGACAGTAGGTACTAAACAGGTAAGGAGTACCGTTTTAAATTGTTTCACAGCGCCGCCAAAGTGACAACCGATACGGAAAATTTTAATCTTTCGTGTACCTAAATCACCTTTTGGCTTTTGGTAGGAATCGATAGCCGAGAGATAAAAGGCCGAAAAAATAAAAAATATCGGGTTAACGCCGTCGTGCGTGTTTTTTTTTGTTGGGGTTTAAGTTCTAACAAATCGATTAATTTCTCGCACCAGGAACGCCATTTTCAAAATAAAAAATATTTAATTGTTTTTCTTTTAACTTTGACATTTTTGTTTTAAGTCGAGTGTTTTACAACTGGATAGTTTTGTCTGCGATGACTATAAAATTAGAGTTAGCGTTTTTTTTTCGCTCTTCTTTATATACGTAAATTTAAATTTTTCGAATTTTTTTTCTTCAGCCAATCAAGAAAATTTAGTTTGATCATAAGTATCTACTCTCTATTAAAATCAAATAAAAATTTCAGAATGATAGACAAATTATCATCAAAATTTGTTCCTCAAAATGCAAAATTAGAAAATGAAAGGCCTCAACGGAAAATACAAAATTTGAAAATGAAAAGTTTATTTTTTTGCCATCTTTAAGCTAAAAAATTGAGACCTTCTTTATGTCAGAAACCTAAAATTCTTCTTCTATTAATTAGAATAGGTTTTTCAAAGCAGAATAAATTTATTGTAAAATCGAATAAAATTTTCACAAATCTTCAAACCTCCATTGAGGTTTGATATGGACATTTTTTCCACAAGTCCACAATTTTTTGCTAAAACTACTACAGAAGATGAAGAATGTATTAATAAATATGCAGTTTTAAAAGTAAAATTTGATAATTTTTAGAAAACCAAATTTTTATATAGATTAATGAGCTAACCAATGTCAAAAGATGAAGTATTCGTCAAAATAGCAATTTTAAAACGTTAAATTTGATAATTTTTTATATAGATTAACGAATTAAAAAACTGACTATAAAATATCAAACTAGTATATCAAAATACGTTGTAATGTTTTTCTTTCAGTTCTAGTTTTCATGTTTGTATTTGTATCATTTTTTTCTGAAGTTCACTGAGACTGCTTTTAATGCATTTTTTTTGGGAGAAAAATTATATGAAATCCACAATTTTACGCTAAAACTGATACAGAAGATGAAAATATACCATTTTAAAACGTTGAGTTTGATCATCATTTGGAAATCCAAATTTTTATATAGTTTCTCGAACTAATAAACTAAACCTATTAAAAAACTGACTAAAAAATGTCAAATTCAACAGAATTTGCTTTGCTGAAATATTTTCCGTAATAATAGTACATAATAATATGTTGTAATAATTAATATAGTTCAGTTTCAGTTTTTTCTGAAGTTCGTTGAGACTGCTTTTGATGAAAATTACTTAAAGCAAGATATTAAAAGTACGCCAAAAAGGTGCACGAAAATAAGTTTAATGGGGCAATTTCCAAAAATGATGATTAAAAGAATAATTTTCGTTTTTAGAAAACACAGTGTGCTATCAATTTTTTCTTGATTAAAAGGTAGAAAGTAATCTTTCCTGTTGCTAAAAAATTACGACATATTTGGCAAATTTCACCTGCATTGTAATATGAAAGGTGCAGTTTTGCAGAGGGCATTATTAAATGAAAAACTTGTAACCGATAACTTAATGAATATTTTATTGTATGCCTCAAAACCAGCCAAAATTAAAAACAGTCAATTAAATATTCCAAAAGCTCAGGTATTTATAAATCACGTTACTTGCGATTGTAAAGCTGGTTTCAGGAATACAATTTTTACGTCCAAAACCCTTATTACAAAAATTGCTATTTATATTTTCTCGAGTAACATCCATCAACACAGCAATTTGACGAACTATTTCTTGAGCAATATCAACAACGCGGGCAAACCAAATTTTACCTCCGATGTAGCTTATAGGCCCCCACAGATGCTCAGTTTTTTAATACAGGCCGCCTCTGCAAACCTAGTTTGTGCAGGCATATCGGTGCGTTTGTGTGAAGGTCCGGCCGACTGCGCAGGCCGTTGGCCTGGCCTGACCAAAATCAGACCGTGCTTGAATTTAGCCTGCGCAAACTTGGAAACCTGAGCGTGTGTGGACCTCGTTCAGTTGATTTGTTCAGTTTTAAGGTTTATTTAGAATCCAAAAATAGTAAGCAACAAATTGACGAATGTTAACAAACAGTTTTTAATCGAATTTATTGAGGTATACAAAAGCTTACCATGTTTATGGAAAATAAAGAGTAAAGAATACAATGACAGAAATAAAAGTTGATACGGGAGCAAATAGGGAAGCCGTGGTTAAAAAAATAAATAATTTAAGGAGTTCATTTAGGAAAGAATTAAAAAAAGTATTGAAAAGCAAAGTAAGTGGGGCCGGTACAGAAGACATTTATACTCCAAACCTGTGGTATTATGAATTGCTGATCTTTTTAAGTGATCAAGAGACACCACATGCCTCAACGAGTAACCTAGACGATGAAGAACCTAGAATAAAGGTAATAGGATATTATTGAAGCACTAATACGGTCAGTCAAAAAAGTCCAATCTTTGGGCCATTAGCTTCTTTGAACAAACCGTTGCTTTTTTTGCTTTTTCTTTATTGCACAGGCCGTATAGAAAAATCGTGCCAAAACTAGTGAGTGTGAATTTACCCAGCTGGCTGTATAGAAAGAACTGTGCTATAAAACTGCGTGTGTGTGGGGCAGGCAATAGTACAGTTAAACTGCACAAATTGGCCTGCACAGTTGGCCTGTGCTAAAAAACTGAGCATCTGTGGAGGCCTTAACATTTTCTCTACCAGAGACCTCGTTGACGTGTAAAATCAAGATCAAACATAATTTTAATATTTTTAAAACCCTGTAATGGACCCATAACGCTAATGAATAATTTTCTCCGGCAAAGCCGTCGCCGACGCCGCCAAAACAGGCCGCCAGACTAGTCCGTGATTTTTCTCGAACGCAGCACCCATCAATAAAACCCATTGGAAGCGAAAACCAAAAAAATAATAAGAGGAACGGTGGAGCAGCGCGCACACACACACATACAGCAAGCACAAGGACCCGGAGGCGAAGTCAAACGTTCAACAGACTCGACATAATTAGCAATTAAAGAAATTAGCAAAACCGAATAGGATTTCCTCTAAGTCTTTCGACCGCTCGGCAGATGGTATTCATTTTGCGACGTCGAGCTCGGGCAACCGACACCACTTTTATTAATTGAAACGCGGTACCTACACGCTAGTTATCCCCCTAATTTATTGCATCGCAAATTATTATTATCGGTCTCCGTCGACCGGTGTAAACTAGACCAGTCTGCCACCTCAAAAAAACCGTAACGATTTAATCGTGATTTGTCGTGATTTTTATTTTTCGTAATCACGCCTGTTTTTGCCAATTTTAATGGCTAGGCAAATTTTAAAAATTTTTTGGTTGGTTTATATTTTTTCCTGCCTTTTTATTTCCTTTATTTTATTAATCGTTTTAATTTACATTTTAACCTATGTATTTTAAACTTAATCTTCCGCTACCACCTGAAATGCCATTCTAAAAACCACAACAATTGTTATCAACACAACAACACGACAGGTATTATCAACACCCGTTTTTCTTGTTTTTCATGTACTCAAAATGTACTCAAAAACTAACGGTCGTACAAAAAGTTTAGTATGAACACGCTGGGTAAACTTTCTAACTCACTCGTTTATTAAATACTCGCTCCGCTCGTGTCAAATAAACTCGTGAGTCAAATGCCGTTTACCGCACTTGTTGCATAATATACTATAACAATCTTTAACTATGACGGAAAACATCCACAATTATTATATATTTTTCTCACTTTATCGCATGCGTGAGAAAAACATTTTTCTTTTTACGCAAGCCGTTTTACTTTCAATAGGAAAGTTTAATAGTATATGTATGAGTATGACCGTCAGAATTAACAAACAAAAATTGCTTCCAAATCCTATCGTCGTCTAGTGCATTAGCTAGCAAAAGGAAACTTTTTCTAGGCGTGAGACGTTTATTTGGTGATTGGTCGCCGTGTAGGGTGTCATTGGTAGTTTTGTTGTTTCTTCTTTCCATATCGATTTTATATTAAATGAGTGTAGATGAGGACGACGTTGTTTCCTTTCTTTTGAGTTTACTTCTTCACCCGAGAGATTGAGATAGGCATTAGCTGAATATGAGCACTTGAGTGAGTGAGTGAGGATTTTATATTAAATGAGTGTGAATGAGGATGAGGTTGTTTCTTTTCTCCTTGAGTTTACCTCTTCACCCGTTAGCTGAAGATGAGCACTTGAGTGAGTGAATGAGGATTTTATATTATATGAGTGTGGATGAAGGCAAGGTTGTTTCTTTTCTTTTGAATGTACTTCTTCACCTGAAATTTCAAATATTTTTGGCTAGTTACTCTCTGGACTCTCCAAATGTGTAATTTTAGGTGTTAGCTGAAAATGAGCACTTGAGTGAGTGAGTGAGGACTTTATATTAAATGAGTGTCGATGACGCCGAGGTTGTTTATTTTTTCTTGAGTTTACTTCTTCACTTTGAAATTTTAAGTTTTTTCAGATTTCTAAAATTAAGCGATTCCCTTCGGCGCCCCCCTTCCCCCGCGGCACGAGGGGTCCCGCTCCCTCGGTACCCGTCGGTCGGCGCCGCCACGCGAAATGATTTATTTCCCGTTCGTCGTGTACGTCGTGCGATGGTGCGCCTCTCCTCGTTCCGTTTTCGAATATCGTACCGCGCGCTGCGGTACCGGTAACGAGATCCGGGGTGGTCCGATCTTCAGCTGTCTTCGGAACGGGCCGCCGCCACCGCCGCCGCCGCCTCGATACCGCGATAGACGATCCGTAAGTTTTCGTGCACGGTAGAGGAGCGTCGCGCGTTGGCGCGACCGCATTAACGGATTCGGAGAGGGCTCCAGCAACGGAACTTGCGGCACTCCGCGCTCTAGCAGATTTATTTATTATAATCTTTATTTTCCGAATCGACAAATACATGTTCGTATAGGAAATTGTCAAAAAATAAAATGACGCATAATTCAAGACTACAAAGAGTAATCAATAAACGAGGAATGAAAAAGACTAACTAAAGTACTCTTTTACTGAGTACAGGCATTTTATCACAATAAATTCATTGTAACAGTTTTTTAAATGTACATAAATTATCACACATTTTTATTTCTTTCGTACGCTTGGGATTCGATAAGAACTATTATATTTTGCATAAGGAACTCCAAAGACGTCTTTAGATCTTGTATTCACTAAGTGAAAATGATTAACACCACTGCACTACACACATTTTAAACACATATAGACTATACAATGTTAAAATATATATTTTTTTAAATAGGTTTTACAGGCTATGTAATATTAAAGAAAACCAATGAATTTTAAAATTCATGTTTTTCTCTATGAATATTCCAAGAAACATCATGTACCGATCGCAAATCTTTAATATTTATGTGAAGGGAAAGGTTCTTGACTATGATGAATAAAGGTATGTTATTATCATTAAACTAAGAGTTCACCTCACTCAAAACCAAGTTACATTTGTGTTCCAGGCATAAATGACTCGTCATAGATATCGTAAAGTCATCAGCAAACTTTTTAAACTCTCTAAAGCTACAAGAGGAGGAAGAAGAAGAAACAAAGCAAATTTCAATGGAGGACCGCTTATACACAGGTCACAGAATAACCCAACAGAACTGCTTGTATGGAGGATCTCCCACTTCCAAAACCGAACTGGTGATCGGATAGTAGTTTTCAAGACATAATAAACGTCGTTGCAAATATACATACGCAAAGAACTTCGAGAAAACCATGGTGACTGTATTATTAATGTTTGTTTTACTACCTTTTTTATGTAACGGAATAATCTTTGCAAAAGGATAAATGTGTTATATGGGTAAATGGGTAAATAATGAACATTGAGACGCGCTTGAAAAAAAAATTGGAATATCATCACATCCAGCAGACCGTTTATTTTGAAGCTTTTTAATAAGTAAACGGCCACTTCAAGAAAACGCATTAAAAAGTTAGTATAACATTTCGACGTTTTGAAAAACGCTTTGAACATGTCTAATATAACCCGAGGATCTTCAATTTTTTTATTATTACGTTCAAGTTGAATATTATTGAGTTTTCTCTTTCTATTAGTTACTTCTGCTACCACGTGTTATGCTCGATTTTAGCCAACATACCTGCTTCGTAAACTTTCATTTATTCTCTGTTGTTGAAACAAATATTTAAGTTCCCAACTTGATTTTTTTACACCAGACAACATATAAAATGGACGATTAGGAAAATACATGTTAATATTGGACGAAAACAGCACAATCAAGGCTACACACTCTGTACATATTAGACCAATTTTCATGAATCAGTGCTTGTTCAAAATACTTTATGGCTACCTCCGAGACAGATCTTCTGATATTGTAGTATCAATAACAAAGGTGATGTGACTCTAGTTGGCCACTGAACTCTACTTGCTAAACCAAAGTAGGAACATATGTTATTAATTTCCCTATACTATGTAGGGTTTCCTTGTGGATCATAGTTGAAGTCGCCACATACTATAACTTTCCTATTCGGTTTAGATACGAAATTCAGCACATGATAAATTGAAAGTACTATCAAGCTTTATTTTTTATTCTTCCTTGTTTTTACATATGACACACAACAAATTTCCTTTGTCCACCGAAATTCGGTCCAAAGGAAGGCTCGCTATGGCTAAGCCTCTTTTGGTCCGTATTGCACATCCACCCCAATTATATTCAGTACGGCAGCTGCTAACTACCAAGTCGAATCCTTCAAAAACAAACTGATTTAATTTATCTTTTTCTACACACGTCTCATTAATACAAAGAAACTCTAGAGTACTTAAAAAGTTATTTTTGTCAATATTAACATTACTGACCATGGCAAGTGTTAAATACTGAGGGTTAAGTAGAAATATATTCAGTTTGAGCAAATTGTGAATGCACTGGCGAAATTAAAAAAACTATAGTGGCCCTACTACAGTTTCAGATCTAGAAGAGCTCGATGATATCAGACCAATCTGCGCTTTTTAAAGTTATTTAAAAACATATGTTTACTCAAATTGTCCATTCTGTAACTTCGTAGTAATTATAGCACATCTATGGTGTTCCTAGACATTTTACTTCTCGACCTATTGGACTTTAGCAAAAGCGTTTGATACTAGTAGTGACAGTACGTGTGGTTTTCTTGTCAACTAGAACACCGTGTATGTTATTATGACAGTTAATATGTCCTTATTTACGAAAAATATTGGTTCTTTCATCCTGTTTAAAAAAACAATAAATTTATGTATTCTTAAAAATTATCAAATTTTCGTAGTTATTTGCGGATCAACGGAAAAAAACAAATTTTAAAAAATATACCAAAAGTAAGAGTGAACCGCCACCGTCGCCGTATCCCGGTGCATTGGCGCAGACGCTCATTAACCGATCTCCGGCGGCGCCTCTACGGTGGTGGCGTCTGCTCTCTCGATCCGGCCACGTAACTCTCCCGTGTCTTTGACACAGCCGAAAAATGCCATCAGAGACGGTGATCTGCCGAATCTGATAACGATGCCGCACCATGGGAACAGCCGGCGCACACGGGTATTTCGTAATTATTATTCCGCTGCCAAAAGTCTTAATAATTTTTTTTTTCATATTTTAGGTTTTCTTTAGCCTTTTTTTTTTGAGAAATCTTATCCAGTTTGAAAAATATACTATGAAACTTATTTATTACCTTTTTGTTTTTCTTTTGCAACCGAGTGTGTTCTATATTTTTTCTCATTTCCGAATATTTTGCAATGCAAAAACTGTTTTTGGACTATGCAATGTTGTAAGCTAGGTATTTATTTTGTAATAAAATGGGAAATTGTGTCCAATTCCGGGCAATTTCGGTGGCGGTATAGGCGTAGGTAATTTTTTTATTTCTTTAATTTACTGATAAATATATGGACAGTATTTGGTGTAAAAACTACGGCTCACAGTATTATAAGTAATAAAATTTCAACATTCACACCAATGAAACGATGCTTAAATAACTTTCCAGCATAATTTAATTTCTGTATAATACTTTTCTTGTGAAATGTTATAAAACATAAAGGTAATATTACGTACCGGATGACCATTTATAATGCCTACCCCCACCCCACCACCGTTCAACTTTTTTACTTAACGTTTGGGAAAGAAAGGTCGAGTACAAAAGTTGTTCAAAAAATGATAAGATTTTTGAAAAATATATTTATATATATATACAGTGTTTCAAAAATCACCTATGGATAAAAGCTATGCATACTATATTATATACTTAATCAAATCCTCTAAAAATCTGCACGTTTCATGTATAATATGTATTATAATTAAACATTTTTTGAGAAATATGAGCTTTTAACATACAAGAAATGTCCAGATTTTTAAGGGGATTTCATTAAGTGTATAATATGCATTATTTTCCAGTAAAAAATACATAACTAAAATATATATAATAAAAAAAGGAAAATGGGAGGGAGTGACATTATAAATGTTCACCCTCTATATAATTGCCTAACATTTATTCAGTTAAAATAAAATGTCTTTCTTTTTAAAAGTATCCAACCAGAATGTCATTTTCGTTGTTGCTGAATAGATAACACTCGATAAAAAAAAATACAAATAAATCATTGTCTAACAATGAAAATGAGTTCAATATTTTTTGGGCCACTCTGTAGTTACCTTTACCTCTTATTAAATAAATTTGGATTATTAACAAGATTATTATGAATATGTTTAGAAAAATATGTATTTCATTTAGAATAATCAATTAGGATGGAAACAAAGACACAGGACGACCTAATAATACAATAAGACAATTAAGACATACTAAATTAATAAGCATAAAAAGATATGCTTCTGGAAGAAATAGATAATATATCTGTGTAGCGGAATCTCAAGATATTTTGGAAAAAAAAGATATCGGTATAATAGTGTAAGACAAAAGTGTCACGAATTTTTATTTCGAGCCAAGTCTGACTGACCTTTAGTTAATGGAAATTATTAATAAAGAGTAAATTACAACAACTTTTAGACCACACGATTAAGCGATTGTTTCGAACAGATGCACGTTCAAAAAAACTAGTCAAAACATTATCATATTTGAAGTAATTAAGAGGAGAGAAACGGCATAATCTGGGGCACATCATAAGAAATCAAAAACATCAATTCCTAGATCTGCTGGTGAAGGGGAAGATGGAATATATACAGTCGTGAATGCACACGGGAAGGAAGAGAGGTACAATACATCGGCTGGTGGATATGCATTGAATAAAGAAAAAATTTTTAGATTTTTTAAAAGAAACTTTTTAACACCTTAAAAGTCTAATTCTATCGACTATGTAAAAAAAATCACATCAATTAGGTAGCGTGATTGTTTACGTGCTTTCGCGAAAATTCGATAGGGCCGGGGGTCACGTTAAAACACCGGTTTTTGCTCCCCCAATTCGACAGAAATCCATTTGTATTTTTCGCCGGCTCACCCACACACCCGCACACACGTTTTGTGTCGGTATCAGCTTACAATGGGGCTGATTTCTTTTATTGCGCCCCTACCCCCCCTCCCGCCGCTCTACACCCGTTTCTGAAAACGAATCGGCAGTTTTCGTCGTTTTTCTGAACCCGGACAAACGTTTTAGAAAATTGCGCCTGCCGATGCCAGTGCCGTCGTCCACGCTTTTATCCAAACGGACTCTTTGTTTGCGTAGTCTTCCTTTTTATTTCCATTTTCCTCTCTACTTCCCACATACGATTTTATAGTAATTAATAAATTCCATCACTAAATGCTCAATTCAGTATCACAACACGGGATGCTTTCACACATTAAGCCGCATTTTGCGCAATTTTTTCGAACTTCAGAGCTAATAATAACTAATAATAATAAGTAATTAATAATTATAGTCATCATAAAAAAATCATGTTTTAAATTAAATTTAAATTTTACCACATGTTAAAATATTGATGTCCCCACATGGATAAATATATAACGCTAATCATCGTCATATTATTATTTATTTGCCATAATGCTTATTCCAAAACAATATTTTTTAGTACTTAAGTAATGTTTTTCCATGACTTACACATAAATTTGCACAAAATATAGAACGTAAAATAATCATTAACATTAGTAAATTCTTCCCACTCTAAAACTCAGTAACATAAACAGCCAAATTATATTAATGCCAAATTAATACCCCCAAAAATTTGATTTGATCTCTGCCTTTTTCCGTATTATCAACGGAAAGTGTATCAAAATCTGGTTATATTTTGTGCTACAGCTAAATGTGACAAACTGTGTTTTTTTGATGATTAATTGTTAATAGTTTATGATAGAAACAATCGATCATATCTTTCGATGCAAAATTTGTAACAAATAAAATTCCTTCAGCAATATACTATTTAAGTAAACTATAAATAAGACTGGCCCAAAACTATTCCTTGCGGGACGCCAGATTGCGTGCGTAGTTCATCTTCAATTAAGACGCTGACACAAAACATTGTTTTCTCTCATTTAAGCAACTTTTTAAAATATCAAGAGGTTGATTTTTACGAATAGGTCTTCCACAGCTTCAAACCTCTCTGCGTGGCTAAGGTGTCAAAGGCCAAATCATAAACTACTACTACTATAGGAAAGTCACTGGCGAATAAAAGTAATCCTAAAGAACTAAAAAATCTTCGTGTGAGGTCAGTATTCTTCTTCCAATAACAAAAATTTTTGAGTTTTGTGTTCCCAGATGTACAATTACTTGGTATAGTACTAGTAGCGATTTTTCGTATGCTCTTGACATTATTAATCACAATAAATATTGGTAAATATTCTGATCAAACTGCTTTACATCCTGCATTGCAGCAGTGTTCCTTCGACCATTAGTCCGTAATGTATTCTTTATTGTAAGGTGTAAGTAAGCATTTGCTGATGATGTGCCTTTGATGCTGATGACTGTGCTGACTCTGAGGCTAATATGAAA